ACTATTGTACATAGGGTCGCTATGAGTCATAGGTGACTAGATGGCACATAACGACAACAACTTTTACTTCTTTTACTCCATACTATACTATGAGTCTCTGATGTTGGAGAGGATGTGGTAAGAAAGAAACTCTTATTCATTGTTGGTGGGATTATAAAATGGTGCAACTATTCTGGAAGGCTGTTTGATGCTTCCTCAAAAAGCTGAACATAGAAATTTCATATGACCCAGCTTTTCCACTTCTTGGAATATACTTTGAGAATACGAGAACTGAGGCACAGAGATTTGTACACCAATGTTCATAGCAGCATATTCACCACCACTGCAAGAATAGGGAAACAGACCAAATGTCCAACCACGAATGAATATATTGAGAAATTATGGTACATTCACACAGTGGAATACTATGCAGTACGCAGGAACAATAACTTTGTAAATTATTACCTAACTTAGGAGGGACTGGAGAGCTTTATGCTGAGTGAACTAACTCAGTCCCACAAGAATAAAAATTGCATAAGACCATTATTGTAGAATGAGTATAAGGATCCAGGAGGTGTGGGAGAGGCTCTAAGCAGAGGGAGGTGGATGTACAGGGGGAAAAGGGGACTGATTAATTATTGGGTTGTACAAGTTCATGGGTAAGGATTGAGGGAAATTGAAAGAATGTGTTCTAATTTATATCAGAATTTTGCAAATAATGGAAGTCCAAAGTCACTGTGAACTTTCATTAAAATAAATTTAAAATATAAAAAAAAGAATGAGTCTCTGATAACTGGTAATATGTGTATAAAAACCCAAAGAGTGAACTGAAAGGGGTGGGGGTGGGGGTGAAATAGTAAGGGGAGAAAACTGGGTTGCAGAGTTTGATGGGCAGAGGGAGAGGGTGAGCGAATTAAGAAAGATTTGGTGGGGACATGAAAAGAGGGGTTAACAGTATACACAGATCAATGATGATCAATGTTATAAAAAAATGTTTGGGGATGATAGTATGAAACACAATGTGAATGAAGGCATGTGTGAAATACATGTATATAAATGAAAAACACAAATATGTATGAATTTTGTATGCAAACCAATATAAATTAAATAAATTTTTAAAAGAATGAATTGTTATTTTGTGTCTTGAAAACATGTATTCAATTCAATATTCAACATTTCATTATTTAAAGATATGCATATACCACAATCTGTGTTTCCTTCTGCTTAGTCACATTATAGATTTTAGTTACCATGAAAAGTCAATATTCAGATGGAACAGAGATCTGAAAGAAAAGGCATTCTTTTCCTTACAATCACAAAAACAAACCTGGAAAAACTACAAATTGGCAAACTTACATCAACACATAAGGGTGTTTTTGTCTGTTTGGTTTGGTTGGGTTTGGGGTTTGGTTTTTGGTTTTTTTTTT